TTACGTCTGACGGTAATTATTCATTCTAATATGATGGCATTTGAGTGTTTCTTGATGATATCTCGAATGTTGGTAAGACGTTTCACGCTTCTCAACATTGTGGATCACACCGTTCATCTTTCTAGGGAGATATATAAGAAGTTTTTTAGTTATGATGTCCATTTTTTGTCATTGGTGAATCATTAAAAGCTCTTTTATCATGTCTACGACCTCCTTTGTCTTCACCAATCTCCTTCTTTCAGCCATTTGATATGTCGCAAGTGAGTGGTTTCCATCAAAGTAATATAAAATGTATTGTTTCACATGACCATTTTGAATATCAAATTCTATTATTCTGATGTTTAGTTAAGACTATGATTGTTTTCGATTGGGAGTTTGTTTTTTATTAATCTTTAAAACAATTTATAAAAAGAGATTTAGAATTATGAATTATATCTTAGACTTGCTCATGTAGGTTCTTAGTTTAGGTTAATTACGAGAAATCTACCTTGTAGAAACAAATAGAAAATAATGATAATACCTACTTTCGTCAGTGCATTACCTCATCCTAAACCAACGAACTACCTACTTTTGTCAACATAGTCCATTCATTCAGGATCTTTTAAGCTCAGTTATTAAAAAGAGACTTTTTTCAATAGGTTGAAACACTTTCGTAGCATGGCCACAATATGCAATCACCACGACTATTTTCTTTAGTTTTTCTTATCTTTCTTATATGCTTTATCCTTTTGGATTTGATGGTTTTCCATAGAACTTGGATTCACCTAGAAATTGTTGTTTTCTTGAAATACCAAACAAGTAAATAAATCAAAACAAAAAACATGAGGAAAAAAAAGATAAAATCGTAAGAAACAAACTTGGAAATTAACATAAAACGCGACTACAAATAGACTTATCAACATTATTTCTGACGTATATGTGCCACCTCTTCTGGAAAAGCATATAACGTGTGGGTAATTAGGTTCATCTTTTTCAGGGTAAAGCTTGAACGTGAACTTTTCTTTTCTTTCCATACTTGCTTGTTTTATTAGGGTTTCTAGAGAGGATAGTTGTGGATTTTTAGTCTTTTGTGCTTTGTACTTTGGTGAATTCTCTTGCTATAAATAAACTTTGATGGAGGCACAAAGTTTGTCTTTATATCGACCTTGTGCTTCTTCTTACAATATTTATTTTATGTGTTGGCAGCCTCTTTTGACATAGACAATTCGCAACTCATAGTTTAGAAGGCAACAGGAGATAACTTTATCGTGTGGGTGGATGAGGAGAAATTTGTTATCGTTTTTGCCTTCATCGGTGAAGGCAACCTAGACTATGCATTTGTGGATTTGTGTTTCCATGTACAACTATCTGCAATCGTCGGATGATCATAATGGTTTTGATGATGACAACACGATATATTAAACGACATAATGTGAAGTATTCATTTGTGAAAAAGAAGCATTTATTAAGATGTTCTATCAAGATGCTTTTGTGAAATCAATATGTAAAATGGAGTTTGGTGGAATCCCTGATTATCTCTGACCAAACAATCCCTAATGATGGCATATATAAATAAGCTCTACCAAGCCTCGTAATTTGAAGAATCAAATTTTAGGTGAAGTGTTGAATCAATGATGAATCAAACAAGGGATCTTGAAGCTTCAAAAATTATGAAATAAAGGAAGTGTTAAAGCTTGCTTGGTCTATGTCTGAGTGATAAGTGTATTGCAAAGATATAAGAGGAACTTTTATAAAACACACACATGCATGCACTCACACACACACACGCACACACACACACAAATCTTCAAGGTGCATGTGGAATTGACCAAGAGTGTTTCTAATCATTATGAGGATATTATAAGTTACTCAAAATGGTGTTTATGTTATTTAATATCTTTGAAAGAAGTCGGTGTTTGGTTCTTGAACTAAACCAATTAAAAGCTTTATTTGGTTCTTTAGATTAGTAAGATAAAATCTCTATTTGGATCGTGAGTTCAACCCGTTAAAATCTCCCTTTTGGTTTTGACATTAGCCATCAAATATCTATTTGATTTTGAGCTTAACATGGTATAAAAGCTCTATTTCGTTTTAAGATCATCCTAGTGTAAAACCTCTTATTAAACTTCGGGATTAGCCCGTGTAAAATCTCATGTTTGGTTGTAAGAAGGTTCATGGGCTTAACATTTGAAAAGCTAACATCTCATATAGTCAAAACTCTCAAGAAATTATTGGGGAGAGAAGTAGGCTAAGTGGTTAGGTTGAACCTGTATAAACCGGTTGTGCATTTCTCTTTTCCTTTATCTTTTATAAAGCAAAATTAATTTCAATGTTTTTATAAAGCAATATTTTATAATTGAACATCGTCTTTTAAACTCACACAGTTCACCCCTCCTCTTGTGTTTGCATTCATTTATTCAACAACATTCACTGAAGTGGATCCCTCCTCAGACTAGGGAATGCTTCACCCTTGGAAGTATAAGAGGATATGTAGCAAGTATGATGATTGTGTTATCCTTCTCCATGGATGTTTGTTTTCTATGATAGGTTTTAGCCTCCACTTTAACAAATTTAAGGCAGGCGTTCTAAAACATTTGTTTTCTATGATAGGTTTTAGCCCCCGCTTGGTGAATTTGGCTTATATCAAAGTCTTCTAATACTAGTGCAAATACAAGAAATGTGTGTTATGTTTGATACTCTTCATACTCTTCTTCCATCCCTATAAAGCTCAACGGAGTTCTACTGATTCAGCCTGAGGTCAAGGTCTAATCTCTCTTATACAGTGTACTAAGATGACTTAGGTTTATTTACGGTAATTTTTTCACCCTTATTGATATTAATTTCATAATACATGTGCTACACTGTTATTGATACTTCATTTGAACCATTTTCAAGCATGGATCCATCAGCATTTTCCACGTCTCTCCAGATGGAAATATGTTGAAGACTACTATAAGGAATTTCCACGTGTCTGCTCCCTTTTCCCACTTAAGGGGAATCAGTCGACCAGGTCGTTTCTAATTGCACTTGATTGTATCGTGCCAAAGGACATCTATTCCACGTCGTACCGTGAGCGCTGTTATGCACGGTCCTTGGAGGTGATATCCCATTATTATGGATGGTTGGTTTGTGTGTTTCGACTTATGTATCAATATCTACTTGAGCGATTATTACAACTATTCAGATATCTGCAAGGTGTACCTAGGGACCCCACATTTTGTTGCTCCTATCATTGTCCTCCGTGGAAATGTTGATAGGATATTTGTGGACTTCAATAAGCATCTTGTGCCAGAAGATATATGTAGTGTGTCAACTCCTCGTCCATGGAGTACGTTGACGGTTACATTCAATGATTTTATAAAGTGTCACATATTTACATGACGCAAGATGCAGAAGGAGATCCTCTTATGTCAGCTCATCAAGAGATACTAGAAGAGGAACAAGTAAGGGCAGACCATATTGTGGATGTATTGGTTATATGTCATTGTATTATTGTTATTGGGAGAGAGTCCATAGCTAGAGGAGGGTTTCAAAATAACAGACCTCAGATGATCACTCTACATGCAATCTTACCAGAGGTAAAACATGTGCTGCACTATATGAGGCATAGGAAGAACAATGACGTTAGATATATTCAATAGTTGTATTTGAATTTGTATTTTGATATTAACATTTTAAAAGTTTGTAATATTTGTTGTATTTTATAAACACTAATGTATGATTTACCAAAAATTTGTTTAACAATTTAATCTTATTAATGAATGACTAATGCATATAGTCTATTGTGGATATGATTTAGAAATGACTTACAATATATGGTTTATTAATAACGATATTTTTTTTCAAAGTCACAATCAAGGCGGTGCAAATACTGGCTTGAAGTTTGTTTGGATTTTGAAATTCAGATTCACCTCATTGTTATAAAATAAACACTGATATTTCATTTGAACCATTTTGCGATAAAACACAACCTCAAGTCATGTGTGAGGTTTATCTTTGTTTGGATTTTGAAATCCGGATTCACCTCATTGTTATAAAATAAACACTAATATTTTATTTGAACCATCTTGCGATGAAACACAAACCAAGTCATGTATGAGGTTTATCCGAAGATTGAAATTCAAATTTTAATAGAGCATATTCAGATATTGAAATTCAAACTTTTTTATAAAAAAAAAAAAATAGGATGTCTGTTTGATTAAGTGATTTTGTTGTAAAATAGATGCGTCCATATTTCAATCTTCTATGAACAATTTTTTTTATTTTTCATAAGATGTGTGATCCCTACATGGGTTGTAGTGAACACTACCCTAAAGATATGGATTTCTCCAACTAAATGATGCTGAAAGGCATCAACACCCTATCATTTTTATGGACTTTTCAATTCTTCCTCTCATCAATTGTTTTAGAATTGATGTTGAAACAATTGTAAAGCTAATATACAACTTCTTCATATTTACAACCTATGAGTCTCAAGGCATAATTTGATAACTTATCCATCTCTACCTTTATCTAGTTAGCATATTGTAGTTTTTGTTCACTGTCTACCAAAAAGACAAAGTCCAAGATAACTAGATGTCCCCTTAATCTTATATGCCTTATACTATGTGGTTGTGATTGTCTTAATCAACCAATTTGTTATCAAATACCAAGAAAGTGTATCCTCCTTCATCAAATACCTTTCCCTAAATGTTGTGGATCATTTGGTCAAGTACATATCAATGGCACCAATCCATAACTTCATCCAACAATGCATCAAGTAATTGCCCCCTTAGAATGTGTAGTTCCTCCACAAAACACAGTGGGAATAAAAAAAGGTGTCTCAGAATTATGGAGAATACCACTTCTCATTTCAAGCTATCTTACAATCTGTTACCAATCTATACAAAAATATCCCATCCAGCTTTAAATCTTTGGCAATCCAAGCTCCAAAAAGAAGGTTGCAAGTAAAGAAAAGCACAACCATCATATATTTAAGATGTAAAATATGTTTCCACCAAAGTATAGCCTTGCAATGTCACTTAATGTTTCACAAGATGTGAATAAGCTGAGCTACTGCTAGTGCTTGCTTGAGCAACAAAGCTCGAATTTGGATGCAATAGCTCTGCCTGTGGAAAAGAATTATTAGAAGGCACTTCTAGAAGCAGATCCTGATCCGAACTGTCCTCCGCAAAGTTAAAAGAATCTAGCAAGTTTGAGCTAGCATCAGGAGGCAAAGGAAATAGGCTTTTTGGATTATAGCAACTGCCAGAATCTTTAAGTTTGCCTTCATAACCAGACTTCGTGATCATTCTTTTGGGGCTCCTCATTATTGTCTTTACCGCTGAAATTTGCAGGATGTGTGTTAAGAATGATTCCTCAGTTAACCCATAAATAACACTAATAAACAAGAGTGATTTTCAAGGATCCCTCTGCTTTAAAGTTAAGCAACTCACATTAGAGTGCAAAGTATGTGAATTCAACCATTGATGAATAAATCAATGGTTGATACTCTACATTCACATACAAGATAAATCACAAGAGTTGAAATATCAGCCTTAATTTTCAAACTTTAAACAATTTTCAAATCCTAATTCGAAGGTTTATGAAATGATTTGATTTTTTTGGAGAATACTAAGTTGCTAACAAGAGGTAACTTTTGCATAAGAAATTGTGTATTTGACTTATATGATCAAGACAAAAAAAGTACGGATTTCTTAAGCAATACTCTTGGGACACTTTTAGCATGGCCATTGTTTTTAGTCTTATTTGATATTGAATTTCCTGCTAACCTGGAAAGTTCTGATTTCTGCTATCACGCATTCTTTTCATGTTTGCAACATTGGTCGACGCTATACCAGCAGATCCCAAAGTATCAGATTTTTCAGCTCGACTTTTACATCTCTGCATCCATAGAAAGGAGTGATATTTGATAAGTATCTATAATTTTTTATTTATCTGAACAATCTCTAATATCAAAATAACAAACTATCATAAACCTTGATATGATGGTAGTGTTCGGCCCATTTTGACTTTGATAGATTAGATAGTGCATATCTTATCAAAGTCATGCAATCTTCAGGTTTTGCCCCCGACAAAGAGATATCAAAGACACCTTCAGCAAGAAGCTGCTGAAAATAAGTTAAGTTCTCCTTGAATTGAGAGCTCTCGAACATGATCTTAAGGCTGCACATACAACAATACAAATCGTCAATACACACTGATTGGAAACCTCGGCACGGCAGTTATAACTTTCATATGACATTAGATTTCAAAACAATTTTCTTGGTGAATTACGATAAAAATTCAATGAACCATAAGTGAAAGAGTAGAATTCTAGCCTATCAGGAAGTTTAGCAGTATCGACCACAGGAAGAAACTTCAGTAATTGCTGCTGTTCTTCATTTGTCAAGATTCCCAAAAACTCTTCATAGTTTACAACATCCTAGCCAAACATAATTACACTTACATTAAGCATTCAACGATTAGATAGATTTAAGGTGCTATTTATAAATATTCATATTATACAAGCTAAGACAAGAATTCAACTAGGGGAATGTAACTCACATTTAAATCTATTGAGGACAGGGGTGAATCATGATTTCCAAGGATTTGTGCTCTTTCAAGCTGAGACTTGTCACTGAAATTTAATAGGCAGAAATATTAATGGCTGCATAGTATGTTTGTCTCTTTTCCAAAGTAATCTCAGTAAATTTGTCACAAATATTATTCACGGCGTCAAATGTTATGAAAAACATAACTTACATGCAACAACCAACTTTTTCGGTAGAAACAAACAAAATAAATTTTCTTGCTTCGTATAACAACAAAATAGATAGCTTGCCTTTTAAGTTGCTCCTGCTTCATTCCTTGGAAAACTGAGTTCCTTACCTTTTCAGCTCCCTGAGATGAGAAGTTTGTGCGACTGGAACCATTATGCATAGGGACAGCGCCAGAATAAGAATATCTGTCACTCATTGGGTATTGTCTATTATCAAATGAAAGAGAGCTAGCCTCAGACTCTTCATCGCGAGCTACATAGCTAGGATGCCTAATGAGTATACTTCCATGTCCTATCTCGACAGAGACCATTGGCGCTTCATTTTCGTAAAGAAGATCGTCTTCAGAAGATGCAGAAAAATATGATTGTTGTTCATGAAGAATAGAGCACAACTCTTTTGTGAACTCCTCGACAGAAGAATGGTTTGTACGACCAACACATGTCCTCTTTTTTGAAGGCACTGTGGCATCCCATGTCACTGACTGAGCAGGTCCTAAATCAACCAAACAATAAATTAAAATTAAAGTTTCTTGTTCTTCGACATTTTATGATATGAACTTTACAAAGAAAGCATGCTATTTTGAAGGAATGGCCAATGTTTTGATCAGTTACGAAGAAATACCGGCCAACGAAATCAGAACAAACCTGTCAGATCACTAGCATCTGTTCCGCCAAATTGTGCACAGCTTCCTGAGTTAGACAAGGCTGATCCTGAACTTGATCGGTTGCTCATATCTTCATCACCAGCCTTCTGGAATCCATGGTTGTAATCGGATGCAATTCCACCAGATACCACATTATCATGGTTCGGCTTCCGTTTGAGCAATTTCATTTCCTTTTTCTTGTTTAATGATATGATCTTAACCCTGGAATGCCTTTGATCATCAAAATCATCAGTTTCAGCTCGAGCATGTAAAGGCGTATAATTTGCAAGTGTTCCCTTTGTCCTCCACCGAGAACCGCAAGCATTGCACAGTATTGGCTTCTCTGGTGGTCCATTACGCCAAAGTGGTGTGCCTGTTGCAATGCTCAATTGTCAGAACTCAGAACAAAGTCGTATCTCAGATAGTGAACACATAATCATATTCTTCTGATAATCCAAATCCCAGTGCATATACAAAGTACATATTAAACTTGATTATGATACCATACCACACAATTAATCACTCGAACCAATTCGATTAAAATATGAGGCAGTTGCTAATTTCCTTTTAAATACTAGAAAGATGAAGCTGACAAACAATAGCAATAAGACTCTAATTAAGAAACATTTGTTTACTCTATGACACAAACGATTGCATTCGAGCTGAAGTGACTAACAGCAACAGCTAAGTCTTCTTATAGTTGCGCTTATCGAACAAAACACCAATAGAAATGACTTCAACACTTAAGTAGAAAACAGCTTCAAAATTCGGAAATAGAAATGAAAATCCTCAATGCTCAAGTTGCAGGAGTAGTTCTATAAAGATGATCAGTATCATAAAACAGAGACAGAACAATCGCGAATCAAGAAAAAGCTCGAGTATTCATTTTTATTTTCCAGCAAATAAAGGAGCAAGACAAGTTCAACAGATGAATGCATTGCTTGTCAAAGATCCTACTAATGCATTAACTAATGTAAACTCCTTTTAGAAGACAAAAATGGATTAACTAATGGATTAACTTTCAAGTTTCGATCGAAATACGAAAACACAAACTTGTTCTTTAATTCGTTTTCATAAAGATCTTAAACATTATCAGATATTGTTCCTATCAATGCCACAAATCCCTCATTCAATTCAATGAACTATCCTCAATCTTTCACCACTTACATTGTCTCAGATTTCAAACACAATCAATCAAAACAAAAACTCAGCAACACAGTGAAACAAAAAACAATCAAATCAACACAATTTCCACATCTTTCAAATCCAAATGCTCAAATCAACAACTTCTGAATCTGTACAAATCCATAACATCGCACAGAACATGCCTAATTTTTTCTTAGCTGGAAAGTTTTCATTCAATACATCTCAATTTACAAAAACAGTTTCAAACCAAAAAATTAATAAATTGGAGAAACAAGAACTCACTTGTAACTCCACAGTGATGGCAAGGTCCTTGTTTACCCATGTCTCAAAAATATCAACAAATTTTCCAGAAAATATTTTTTTACCAAAAAAAAAAGACAGAAAATTATAGTTTTATATTAAAAAAAATTAAAATAATTATTAGAAAGGGTTTTTTTTTCTGCAGCAAACCTAAATGATAGTTTGCAAAATAAACAGAAGTCAATAAACCCAGAAAAGTTTTTTTTTCTTGTTGATTTTTTTAGTTAAAATTCAGAGAAAAATCCAGAGATAGGAACTATAATTGAAGGATTGATGAAGATGAGAAAGTGTAGAATCCAATTGAAGAGAGAAAAATCAGAGAAATGGTTTGTGAAAAGAGGGTGAAAATGGTGAGAGAAGAGAAAGAGAGAAAGTCAGTGTTTGTGACCCTTTGTTTTGTATATCAAGTAAATGTTTCAGCTTTTTCTTTTCTTTTTTTTCAAACCTTTTTTTATTCCCTATTTTTTCAATCATTTTTTTCCTCTCTTCTTTTTTTATTTAATTTATTTATCATTTTACTATATTAATAATATACTAATATTTTTTATTATAAAATTTATCATTTTTTAAAAAAAAATTTAAAACATTTTAATCTAATAATTAAAATTCTATCTTTTAAAAAGAAATAAATAAAAATTTTGTTTCTACTATCGAATATCACTATATAATTACTATTTTATTGAGCTGCAGTATTTTTTTTTATTATTCATCAAATATACTTTTGTAAAATATTTTATAATATTTAAATTTTAAATTTATGTAAAATAATTAAAGAGATGTATAATTTATGTGAAATAGTGTAAAAAAAAACTTTTTTTTTATTTAAATAAATTTTGAAATTCAACTTGTTTAAATAATAATCATAGAAAATATTAAAATAGAAGCTTAACTTAGAAGAAAAAGAGAATGGTGGGGGGAATATTATTGAACATATCTTGTTGACTTGGATTTTTCTTATTTGCTTATCAACAATTTTCAAATCCTCATCAAACATTTGTCCAAAAAAAATCCTAATAAAAGAAAATCATAAACTATCTCATCTTCACCGTCCATTTTCTAGGTGTCAAATAATTTTTTTATAAAAATAAATAACTTATTTAGAAATGAATATTATAAAGGAGAAGAAAAAATGTAACCCACATAAAAAGAGAGAGAGAAAACAACAAGGATTTGGCCTTTCCTAATTTATATTCTTTTTATTTTTCTATATAGAAAAGATGAGATTTACTTGTTCATGATTATTTTATATATTCTCTTGTGTGTGATGACATGATGTTGTTGATGAACATTTAATGTAGTTTTTTATTTTAAGATAAATAATGGGAAGTGGTCACAAACTTAATTATCACCGTTGGATTAGTTTTTAATTAAGATTAGCTTTACTAATCTCAATCTAACGGTGTGTCCATGATACGTAGTGGGTATCTCGTGGATTTGACTAATCTGGTGCCTTGTAATTTTCCTGGTGAAAGAAATTAGTTTAAAAGAAATTTGGTGCAATGTCTATAAGATTGTGCCATAAGGTCATAGACATAATGGAGCAGTATATTTGGGTTTAAAATTTTTTTCTAATGTAAATTAATGCTTTATTAATTAGATCTACTAATGATTTGTTTTTTATATTTATAAAGTTAAAAAAAAATTGTAACTTCCCTAATAAGAGTTTGGTCTAGTCAAAAGGATTATATTCTTAGTACAATTCAAAGTTTGAATCTTGACAAGAGAGGTGTTCAGCAATTAAATCTATTTTAAAATATTTTATAAGATAACAGACACAAAAATATTATTATGTTAGAATTATATGTACATAAAAAGAAAGAGAAAGAGAAAAAAAAGCAGCTTTAGTTTTGTTTTTCTTTGTAAAGAGCAGTTATGATTTTGTGAGTATTGGAATTCACATTCATTTGTTATTGTGGACATTAATGAATCAATGATGACTATATGCAAGAGTTGCTGGACTTACTAATAATAAGTCACAAGTTAGCCCAATTAATTAGTTATTTAGTTGTGTTGGATGAGAATATAGAAATAATAATGTTTAAAAAGAAAGTTGAATAGACTCGAAATTTTTTTAGACAATTTAAAAAAAATATATAGATTTTATTAAACGAAATCAAAACACAAAATAAAAGAGGTTAGAAACATCTTAATGAATCAAGCCATATGAAATGATACATAAAGTTACCAAAAGATTGATTGCTTCTGGTGCAAGTCCCTTACATGACAATCACAGTCGCTTTAAATGAAGCAATTTAAAAACACATCACTTAGATGTTCTTAACAATGCATAATTGACTTCATGATGATTCCTAAAGATTGATACACTGACCAAAACTTATATATTAAATAAGTCCAGTCTAACCTATATGGTATACAATCAATGCAATCTTGCAAATATACAACAATAAATATGAATGAATGAATGAATGTAAAGTAAAAGGATATGGAAAGGGAAAGATACATAGAGAGATATATAGTGTTTTGGCATTCGTCCTCGCTTTACCTACATGCACTCTTCAACGGATGATGCTATCGGAACATAATCATTATATTCCACTATGATGATAAAATGTTTACAGCATTTTCATTACAAATAATTATCACATGGTAATTCCCTCTGATAATGCAGACACTAAACTACTAACAAAATACAAGATCTCTAAAGATCTTGATCCAATAAACCTGTTATCCATAATAAACTGCTCTAAGTATTTGTGTGACGATCTCCTTGATCCCATTGATTTATCAACCGAGCGATTGCCATTAATTGAGTGTATATTGGACAACTCACAACTTTTTCTGCAAGCAATCTTTCTCCAACGCCACCAAAGAAGGACCACTTCATACTCCGCCTTACAGACTGTTGATATTTGATCTTGCCAAAGTCTTCCTTGGAGTATAATGGAAACTCTCATCTTGATAGATAACAAATGAATGCCAAACTGAAATCAAGAAATGATACATGCGCCTGTTACAATAAAAAAACTAGATACACACAAAAATATTAGATGCCTTAATATACCACTAGTCTCCCTTACACTCGATCTTTATAGAAGGGTCCATAAACAAGGAAAAAAACTAAGGATGAAGATGGTGAACAGTGTCAGGTAATCTCAATAACCACCGATGTTACGAATGATTAGTCAAGTAGTTCAGTTTTGATGAATGATGAACATGCACAAGGTTCAATCGAATTTCTAGATGAGTGGGTCTTGGTTATTGATTGTTATCAAAAGCTTGATCAATTTTCAACAAAATTGATTAACTCATTCTCAAATTCACATAAGAACAACAACCAAATTGCACAAAACAAGATGCAACAAAAAGGATAAAGAATTGACAAGGGTTCAATATCAAAAGATTTGTGTTTGGAAAATAAGAGAAGACAAAAATCAAAGTTTTTGTCTCTACGGATCACCATAGGTTTCTCACAATTGTTACTTTCACCAAAAGAAATAATCATTTAAATAAGTGGTGTAAAATTGGATTTTTTGAGGTTTGATTCTAATCAAGAAGGATTTGTGATTCGAATTAAAATGGGCAGTGCCAAAAGGGCGCTTTTTAAAGCTAATCATTTGAATCATTATTTGCACTTGATTCAAGTCAAGTAAGGTTATAATTCAAACCATGTTCCGTTTTTTATCCAAATCATTTGATCCATAATTGTTTTCCAATTTTCAGCAGGTGATTGATTCGAATTAAATATAACAGATGATTTGAATCAAATACCAAATCATCAAAATGTAAATGTTCTAACTTGTGATTCAAGCTACTCATGTGGAAATGGCAAAATAGTAATTTTCACAGGCTCAAAATGGAATTGCCTACAAGGATCAAATGAATATAACACGAAATGTAAATGGTTCTTAGTGGTACAATTTAGTAGCTGAAGCATGTAAAATGGAAGGAAAAAATAGTACAATCACACAGATGAATTTGGATAACATATAGATTACAAATACGCAATGAAATAATAATAGAATTGTAAAACATCAAAACATAATTTGATATTAAAGCATGTAAACGATATCAAATGATACTATGAGCTTTATGTCTCCTTTTTTTATGTTTGGAAAATCTATGAGATTATTGTTGATGAATTAATCCATAGCGATATTTGGAAGAACATAGTCAATCTGATGACTATCATACAATACTTTCTTTGAGTCATAACATTTGTGAAACTCCCCCTACATTAAATACTTAATGCACATAAATATTTGAAGGTTACAAGAAGCACAAGAAATGGGGGTTTGAATTGGGTTTCTAAAAATCAATGCTTTTTCAAAACCAATTCCACAATCAAGAACAAGAATAATAAAAATAACAAGTTATTTTTATCTTGGTTTGCTGTTAACGAGTCTACCTCGAGTCCACCTGCCAGATTGATTTTTCTTTCCCTAAAGGACTTAATCCACTATAATAAAACTGATTACACACACTACAAAGACAATTTTTCTTGTCTTCTTGAGTATACATACAAAACCCTAGTCACTCAAAGTACTCACTCAAACAGATTTGAGATTTTACAGACTGCGTTTACAAATTTTGCATCTATAAAGCAGATTAACACAATGTTTAAGTAAAATGAAATACTCACACAATATGAACAAAAGTTATAAGTATGTTTATAAAGTATTCACAAAAATAATACTATCAGAGAAAATGTAGCAGCGTGTGAATAATGTATGAATTCTCAGCCAAAAAGTCTCTTTATCCATTCTCCCAAGTCTTCCTTGTATAGCCAAAAGAAAGATCCGTTGGAGGGTAGAATGGGAATCTTCAGGTGTGAACTGGTGCCTTAAATAAATGTCTTCAATGATGGGAGACAAAATTGTACATCATAAATGTCCTTACTCCATGAAATATGTGTGATTGAAGGAATGTTTTGATCTTGTACCATGTACTATTTATCTCACATAAATGGCTTGTTATGATCTTCTAATCTTCAAAGGCTTCTAAAATAATGTTGTTAAAGCATGCATAAAAGAGTCAAGGGCCTGATGAGAGTCTTCAGAACTA